TACAATGTATGTATGTAGGCAAATTTTATAATGCGCATCATGCATGGATTAATGTGCACAGTGAGTCACGAAAGTACTAAGTACTAAGTAATAACTTGGTAAAATGACTGCAAATAAAATTGAAGAAATTGGGTTAAAATTAACAATATTTCGCCAATAGAATTAGTCCACCTTATTCAATCTGAGTCCATATAATTACTGAAATATATGTATGTATATGGGTTTCTTCTCTTTAGCTCGCTCGTCTTTCGGCGTTATCCTTGACATAAAGCTAACTTGGAAGCCAAATGTTATGGAACGGGAAGAAAGTCAGTTCGAAAACGCCCTATCTCAGAATTTCAGTGAAAAACACCCTTATCTCAGAATTTTGTTTAAGAACGCCCTATCTCAAACGAAAATACATAAAAAAAAAAAAAATTTAAGATAAGGTGTTTTCGAACTGGCTGCCGAGTTAGGCCGATCTTTCACTCGGCCGTCGATGTGGGGTCATTATCTGATGGAATTCACTAGAAAAGTATACTCTAGTTATGTAGCCAGAGCGCTTGCAAAGGGCCGTCCTTGTTAAAATCAACGCAGTGTTCCGTACCACTCCAATGTAGCGTTTAACGCTATGCTCATCTACGATCCTATTGACATTGCGGGTAAGGCTGCTGCGTAAGACTAAGAAACTCTGGAGTTTCCTGCAACTCGGCCTACGAGCACTTGGTGATCTTTGGAAACTTCGACTTCATACCATAAACGAATCGGTGATTGACTCTCTACACATATCCACCTTAGGAGTGAATGGGAGAGTAGCAGCCTCTAGCGGAAAGTTATAATCAACATTTTTACGGATGGATAAGTTCGACGGCATAGTTGGAGCAGATATATTCTGTCAGGAACTTTGCGTAAATATCATGTTAAGGCTGCCTTATTTCTGTAGCGTTTCTCAGGCAACGGTGACCACTATAAAAAAGACAGCCGACCGGCAACGCATAAGTGTATTATCGATTAGCAGGGCTATTTTGAATAGAACAATTTTGAGACTTTATTTACAAAACATAAAGCGAGAACTTTAGTTAGCAGTTACAAAATGTTTGTTGCCAGCACAGAAAAGACCTGCAAAAGGGTAAATATCTACTCTAATAGGGAAATCGGGCGTCGGGACATAAAAAAATATATATATTTTAGGGATGAGTTATCGTTTGAATAAAATTAATTTTCGTAATGAAAAGTGTTGTCTTAAAAATACTCGTATTTTTGCAACCAACTGTGTGCACAGTGTAATGTACATACATACTACATAAATAAAATGCCGCTCCCGATAAACTTGATTTTAGGTATAAAAGTGGCAATGGAGTGCATCGAGCTTCATGTTTTAAGCTTAATATTGTGAGCGTGTAACTTAATTGTTGAAGCGTTCACGCTAAAACGCTGCTGGCCCAGACGACAAAGTGACGTAGCGCTCAACGGCAGATGATGATCTTACTTACATACATACATACATATGTATGTGCATACACATTATGTATAGGGTGATCCATCTAGACCGTTTTTTTAATTCTAAATAAAACACTTAAAACTGAACTCGATGTCGGAATATTTATTCTCACCCGAAAGAAGAATCTCTGACATTTACTTTTTAAAAATAATTTCATTCAAATGTTGGCTGCGACTACGCTGTAGGTGGTCCATTCGGAAGGTCAAATTTTTTATTAGTCTTGCCAGCATTGCGCGAATTACGCGAATAATGTTCGCTTCTACGTTTTTTTGAATCATAGCTGGCTTATCGAAGAAGACTTCTGACTTCACATAACCCCAAAGAAAAAAAAATCCAGAGGCGTGATATCACACGACAACATGCTGAAACCAAATGTTGACGACATCATGGGCTTCAATTTATGTTCAAGTTATGTTCTGACTGCGGCTAACATTTGAATTAAATTATTTTTAGAAAGTAAATGTCAGAGAATGTTCTTTCGGGTAAAAATTAAGATTTCGACATGCAGTTCTGTTTTAAGTGATTAATTTACAATTAAAAACAAAAGAGTCTAGATGGCTCACCTTATAGTATGTAAATTAGGATGCTTTTTTCTCGGCAATATTTTTTTTATGCACCTCGAAATTTTGTGGGAAATATCTAAAAACAAGTTCCCTGAAAATTTCAGCCCTTAATATTAATATTTAGGTGCTCGACCAAGGCGTGCAAAGATTTCCCGTTCAAAATACACGTAAACTTTGATTGGTTTCATGTTTTTAGATATTTCCCGCAAAATTTCGAGGTGGGAGTAAAAAAAGTTAAAGCCGAAAAAGGCGCCCTAATGTACATACATATGCATCTATGTGTGTTTGTATAGGTATATACATATGTACGTACATATTTTATACTTGTGTAATGTGATCTAAGATTCGCGTAACTTATGCGTAAATCGTTTATACAGAAAGAGAGAAAGGACGGAAAAAAAACGGAACATCAAAATGATCGCGTAATTTTGAGCTTGTTGCGCTTTATAATTACAAAAGCAACAAGGTAAAACGAAAGCAACAAAAAAAAAATAAAAATAAGTAACTGACATTCTCGACAGGTACATCTGTACATACATACATATATTTGCACAAAAAGAGATAACGTACACACAAAGACACAAAGACAAGCGAGATAGTAAGTATAAATAAAACAAAGGCAGTGAAATAACAAAGAGACTTTGTCATCCAGCTGAGAAGATTAGTTGCAACGATTCGATCTACTTCAGTGATTTAGTTAGCGGATCGCTCTGTAATTTTAATATACCCGTACATTGTACACACACCAACATGTGTGTATGTATGTACTACATAAATGATTTGTGAGATTTTATAAACAAAGTTTTTGATAACAAATTCAGTTAAAGTTATCACACAATTTAACCCATAATAGCAGAACACTGGAAAAATTTTCATTAAAATAGGAAAGGATACTCATTAAAGACCTAATAGAATAAAAAAAAAACAAAAACTTGCATTAATAAATTAGTTTCAGCATTTATTAAAGATCAGTGTTTAGAAGAAATTCGCAAATGAAGAACTTTCAGTTTTATAAAGTTTATAACTATTTACCGAATAAAAAATAAAACAAAAATGTTAGATAGGGCCTTTCTATGTATATTACATATTTACACATATATGTGTGTATGTACATATACATATGTATGCACTTTATTGTTATTATTTTCGTACTTACCCTGACATAATTGGCATTGATATATTCCGTTTTATCGTCGTCTCCAAGCTGCTGTAGTACGACACGCGTCTCAGGAAGCGGTATTACATTGGCATATCTAAATATGGTAGCCAGTCGTTGAATTGAATGTACAGACAGTCAAATAACGAAATAGACGCGGTACATAGAAAGTAGAAAAAGAGAAACAAAAAAATGAAATATGTATTAGAACGCTTGGCAATGATACGAAGGAAATTCAATTAATTAATTAAGAGCTTAAAATCTCGAAAAAAAGCGCGATGATGACTCAAGACGGCATATAACATATGTACGTACAGACAAAAGTAAATGTCTCACGTATTAGGGTGCAGTTTAATTTTAAACTTTTTAATATTGTTCAAAATACACATAAAAAGTCAATAAATTCGCGAAACTAGGGATCAAAAATAGTGAAACTGCGCTTTTAGCATTTCCCTCTGACGTGAGGATTTTTTTAAAAGGACTAAAATTTTATATTTATGTTTAATTCAAAAAACTGTTTAAAAAATTCAGTGCAATGTATGTACAAACAATATAGGAATCAAGAAAAAAATTATTAGCTTTATTCATAAAAATTAAGTAGGTTTAAAAAGCTTTATAAAATTTATAAAGCTACTTTATTTTTAAAGCCAGTTTATTTTTTACGAATAAGTGTGTACATTTTTTGGTGCTTGAGGACGAAAAAGTATTGAAAATGTCCTTTTCAATTTTTATTCTTGAATATCCTTGAAAATTTGCAGTACGCACGACCACATCCTCCAATTTCGTCCTTCTAGCTTTATTAGCTTAAAAAATAAAGCTAAATAAATGGGCATTTTCAATACCTATTCGTCCTTTTAAATTAAAGAAATTTAATTTTTTTAAATTATAAAGAATTTTCTCTTTCATTTGGCACCTATATTTTCATTATACATTCTGCTGAATTTTTAAAATATTTTTTTTTTTGAAATAATCATATCTTGGAAATTTCAAAGTCCTTTAAAAAATATTGGCGTTAGAGTGAAAAACTAAAACCGCAGTTTTACTATATTTGGCCCATAGTTTGGTGAATATATTGATTATTTCGCGTGTTTTGAATTTTGTGTAGTATGGGGTCATACAATAAATCAATTTTGCAAAAACGGAAAATATGAAATATCTGTAATTTTTCAGTTGATATAAGGTTTCTTCCTATTCGATTTACATCGTAGACAATTTTTTGATTTCAGTGAGATATGTATTTAAAAGAATCGAGCAAATTTATCGAGCGAGAGTAACCCTAATGTACATACGTGCATATGAATATGTATGTAGTTTAAGTAAGTACCCTCATATGTATTTAATAATTACACTAGGGCGCCTCACAAAAACGGTTGCGGGCTTTCCACCGGAATCATAAAATATATTAGGGCTGTTCGGGAAGTTGTGGAAATGGTCTGGGATTTGCAGTTGGAATTGCATTTGCAAATTTTATGCTTGCTGCCATGGCAACCGTGTGCATTTTATTGTTGTAAATTTTTTTTTATTATATTTTAAGACAGCCGCCAAAATATTTCGGGAAAATATTAAGATTTATGTGAGCTGGACCGATTTGGAAATAACTCTTAAAGTCAAATTTGTTTGATTCCGTTGATTTCAACCATTTTTGTGCAGACCTTTTAAACTTTAGCTGTTCTAAGGCGATTTTTTGGAAAAAAATTTAAACCAATTTTGTTTATAAAAAGAACTAAATTTTTAGACGTATTTTTAAATCCATCCTGACCATGTAAATCTTAATATTTTTCAGATACATATGTATATTGTAGCAGAATTCTTAAAATATAGAAAATTTGTAATTTGAAAGAAAAAACATCGCCGATTTTTTTGTATGGCGAGTGGTGCGACCTAATGTACATACATACATGCTGGTGTTTTGTTGGATTTTAAAAGCTTATATGTCTGCCAAATAAACAAATGTAGCATGAAAACATTTGTTGAATGCGAGCTTCGGTCCGTATAAAAAATTAATCATATCTACATACTTCAAATATAATATTGTGGAGTGTTTATTGTCGCCTCATATAATAGATTGTATATATGTATGTAAATACATATGTATTTATATTACTACGTATTTACATACTCACAAGTATGCATGTATGTATCATAAGCACCTAAGTGCATGTATTTGTACATATATTTGTGTGCAAATATAAAGATTAATTTTGAAATATTTTGATTCATGTGGTTAATAACAGTTTCATTCCTTTTTATATACGACCGATACGACCCAGTAATAAAAATCGAAGTGGGGTTAGACACAGGGCAAAAGACAGGTAGTAGCAGTGCTTGACACTGCTACCTGTGACTCTGCGGGCAGGTGGAATGAATGAAGTGAATGATCCAACTCATATTATCTAGAAGACTTCTGACTGTTTGCGAGGGAAGATGACTTTGTAGCATTGATTCGGTCAAATTCGCCAAGAACGAAGTAGCGGTACTACTAAATGCGCCGCGCCACCTTTGTCTCTCTACGTTGGATATAAATAGCTCTAATCAGACGGAATGTTACGTCGTTGTCAAGATGAGCTTTTTTAAACGGGCTACAAAGGAATATGTGTTTCGGCAATATGGCCGCAGCACAATATAAGGAGTGGCTCTTGATGCTTTGTTTGATTTGCTACTCCTGGATTAAGCGTTCCAAGGGGAGGGGTAATGAAGACGATTTCGATTATCGAAGCTCCGAGCATAGAGATTTGATTAGGGAGTTTGTCAGAATAATATCCTAATGACAAACTGATACGTGGAGACTCTTTTGGAAGCAAGTACGTCGTTAGCTTTTCTACAAGCGAGCAATCGAGAGGTTTGGTAAAAACTTTCTATAATGGAGACTTCACGACTGAAAATGGAACTGGATGGCATTTAGAGGGAAACTGTGGAGTTCAAGGCAATAAACGCGTCCAATTGGACCTGAGCCAACTATAAGGTAAATCATATCCGAAACTGTGATGTATGTAGATCAGGGATTTCATTGAAATCGTTTTTGCACTACTGACACTTATAAAAATACAAAGTGTTTGCTGAAAATACTAAAGAAGGAGAGAGCTACGAGCTCTAATCGGAATGATAACGTGAAACAATTCATCGACGACCGACGGAACGACCCAGATCTATATCTGGCCAAGGACTGTCACTCTAGCTGGTTACCCAAATGCTTTTAGGGATTTTTTATGCTGTTAAAAAAAAAACAACGACTCACTGTGTGCATCTTATTTGTAAGTTGAGGATCGTAGAGCGCATTTTTTCTGCAGCTATATTGCCTTCGCCAGACTGAGATCCATCTCTATACCAAATTCCATTATAAGGACTTTCTGCACTTTATAAGGATTTTCTGTACTTAAGAGAGCTCAATCCGCAATGTACATCTGTAATTTCTAAAGCTCTTTAGTTTGGGGGCAGTTACGTCGGATGGTTGCAATATGGAATCGTAAATAAACTCCGCGAGAAATGAGCTTTAACCTTCTTGATTAATTTCGGCCTACACACCGCTCAATGCCAAACGAATATTTGAGCAATTTTCAGTAAAATTACCTAAGAACCGCTTCTTTATCTTCAATGTTAAAAAGATAAGAGCACTTGCCTCGCATGAGATATGGCTGTATTTGTGTGTGTCTATGTACATAAAAGTATGCGTATACTATGCAGTAACGGTATTACAGTTAAAACTCAACAATTAATTTTGTCCATTTACGAGATAAGATATCAATCGCCCATGCATGAGTGGACCTATTTTTTAGCAAAAGTATAGAACTAAATTAAGCTAGCACTCACCGATTCTTATCTTCACAGCCTGGCGGTACTTCATCTGCACGCGCAATAATTTGCGGCACATCCCTGAATTCCTCGAAAATACTCGACCGACGCTCTACAAATTTGGCCAACTCAGCGGCGGTGAGCGCATTGTGCCGCAACGATGGATCATCGAAGGCAATATTGCCGTAGGAGCGTTTTGAAGCGCGTGAAGCACCTTTCCGCCGCACACTACCCAACACAGAGACATTATCCAAACTGTAGGCATCCAAACTCACCGGCCGGCAACGTTGACCATAGGACATCTGTTTCTGACGCTTGCGCATTAGGTAGAGGAAAGCGACGAGCAATATGAGCGCCACCACACCAATAATGCTAACCGTAATGGCGATGATGACATTCACGTCTGTCTCGTTGGCATCGCTGGGATTCGGACGCATGCCGGCATTGATCATGTCAGGCAGATGAGTGGGCGCACCGCCTCCGCCGCCGATGCTAGCACCTTCGCCGATAGCGGCATGCAGCGTGGGAGGAAGAATTGTTGTTGTTGTTGTTGCCGTGGCAATGGTACTGGTGACAACTGCGGGCATGTATGTGGATGTAGAAGTTTCCAAAGGCGCATCAGCCGCGGTGGTCGAGCTTAACATTGGCACTAAAGGAGCAATGGCGGCAGTGCTGGTGCTGACGGTGGTGGTGGTGCCCTCGGTGGTGGAGAATACCGTGTAGACTTCTTGTGGCTTGACGCCAATACTGGAGGTAGTTGCTGTCGACTGATTGGGTATAGCTATTGGCGTCGTTGTTCTTGGTGTCGACGAATCGTCAAGCAGGTTGATGAGCGGCGGCTCGGTGGTTGTTGTGTCGCTGGTCGAAGAATTACTATACTCTGGAGCCAGCCATACAGGTGTGCTATTCGTGCTCAAGGGTATATTAGCCATTGTGGTGGTTGTAGTGGCGGAGGTGTCGGTAGTAGTTGTAGTGGATGTTGTTGTTCTGTCTGCGTCCTGCATGCCGGGTAACAATGTTTCATTACTCGTACCGGAAATAGTCACAGTCTGCGAAGCATCAGCCTCACCTTTTAGTCCAGCGTTCTCCTTAGCGAACGCCACTTCAGTTGTCGATATTGCTGGCGCTACGCTACTTTCAGTGCTATTTGTTGGCTGCTTAGCGCTTGTCTCACTTATTTTCGCTGTCGTCTTGTCCAGCTGATCGATGACATTCGTTTCGATTGAGCTTTCTGTGTCATGTGCACCTTCCACCGCCGCCTCAGCTGTGTGATTTCGAAAATCGACAGGCGTTGCCGTAGTGGTGGCAGCGCTATTAGCGTGCACTGACCCAGTTGCCTGCACTGTTATTGTTTCCAATGGGTTTGATGTGGTCGTTGTTGTTTCGTCGTTTACGCTTTCGTCGCTTTTAAGGGTTGTTGCCTCATATAGAACTGGTTCCACTGCTGCGCGCGTTGGTGTCGTCGTAATTGGCACTGATGTTGTATTTGTTGTTGGAATGGTCGTTGTTACGTTCACTGGCATTAATAACTCATTTATGGACGACACAGTTGTTGCGGTTGCGCTAGCCTCATCAATCGCCGTCGCCGTCTCTTCCACCACTTCGATTGTACTTGAACCTGTATCGGTATTCAAAGTCGCTGTCGGTGCGTCAGTTTGTCCCTCCGCTGCGACAGAAATGCGCACAGTGCGTGCTTCTAATTCCACTTCATTACCAATTTGGCCAACTTCCGTTGTTGTTACCGCCGCTGTTGCTCTTTCGGTTACTGTCAGTGTGGGCACTTCACTTGGTTTTGCACTGGCATTTGTTTCCACCAAATCGGTTGACAATGTCGTAGTGGTGTTGTTTAAAAAATTAATTGTGCTCGTTGTTGCAATGTTACTACTTTCTGTGGTAGTTTCCGTGGCAACATTTGGCGTTTGGTTTTGCGTCCAAATGCCCGCACCCGTTTCCACGGTCGCACTCGCGTTTGCATTCACGTTCGCGTTCGATTTTTGCTCGCCTGCACTTGTCGAGCCGTGCGTTTCGCTAGACGGTAGCTCACTAACTGTAAGCAATGGCGTTTGCTCCTCAGTCTCAGTCCCTGTTTCGGTCTCGTTGCTTAGCGTTTCGTGTTCTGGGCTCGCCTGCTGTTCAAGTGTAACGTCGTGTATGCTGCTGTCATTGCTGTTGGCTTTGCTGCTGACAACGACTTTCTGTTCTGTAGCGTTGACGCCCGCGTTAACGTTGCTCAGCAGCGTAGCTAGTGTCGTCGCAGGTTGCGTCTCCAGTGCCGTTGCATTTGCCCAAAGCTTTGGTGTTGCCAACGCGTCGCTGTGGGAGGGTGATGTCGTCGAGGTTGACTGCTCAACTGGGAGCGACGCAGCCGTTGTTGTTATTGCCGATGTTTTTACGTTAGCTGCCGCTGTGTCGTTTTCCTTCCCCACCACTGCCACTGGCGTCGTTGACGTAACAATGAAATTGAAATCATCGCTTGCCTGCTGTTGTGTGTTGCTCTCCACAACTGCGCTCAAATTTCCTACAGCTGTTGGGTCAGCGCTCTGACGCTGCGTGGGTGATTCAGTGGACGCAGTCGACGACAACAATGAATTATTCAGCGACTCTCCAACGTCAGCTGCCACAATGGTGGCTATAAAATCCGCATGCTTATTATTCTTATCAATTGATAAGGGGGAGTCATTTGTTAATGGCGTTTGTGTGTTGGTTAAACCAGTAGGTGCTATTGTTGTTGTTGTTGCTGCTACGGTTTGAAGTGTATCAATTTCATTCATCACATATGGGACGGTGGATTTTTCGCTTACATTCAACTTGGCGTTGCCTTCGGTAGTCTGTAGGAATGTGGACTCATTGTTTTTGGTACTGTGCTCGATCTGAGAAGGTCCCTCAGTTCGCCAATTCTCTAGCAGCGCCTGCAAGGGCACGTCTGTCTTTGGCTCCTTCCCTGTCTCTATTCCATCCTCTTCCAACGTTCCCTCTGTTATGTGATTTCTTTCCACGGCGTCGTGTGTTTCCAACTCGCCGCGCATTCCCATTACTTTCGTCCAGTCTAACAAATTTTTCTCACTGTAACTGCTGACATTCGGCGTGCGCTCAGTGGTTACGATTTCATTTAGTTGCCAACGAGAATCCGCACTGCTTCTGCTCTCCTCGGTGACCTGCGTGGACGTGCCGTTGTTATGCATTACTTTGGGCACCATTCTCATACCTGCGAGGGACCAAACCTCCGGCGCGTCAGGCAAATTCATATTTCGCGAATTTGTCGAATTGCCGCTGATGAATTTGCCCCGCTTCTCGGCTGAGGAAGTGCTGCTAATATGCGACTGATTGGCAACTTCTTCTTGCGTGTGCATCATCTCTTCGGCTGCTGTTGTTGTTATCGTATCAGTTTCAGCCTCGATCGTGACAGCTGCGCTTGAACGTGGCTGCTGCTGCAGGTGTATTTCGGCTGCTTGCGCCTTTTGCTGCAGTAGCTGCTGCTGCGCGGGGACATCTGTTTCGGTTTGATTTATTTGGTGTTTATTTTGAGTTGGCTGGTCCGGTTTGGTTGTTGCTTCCAAATCCATGCCGGTATTCTCCCCTTTTCCAAGTGAGCTTACAGTTTCTTCAGTGCCACTTTTAGTTGCTAATATTGGTTTTGGCATGGATGTAACCATAATTTCCTTTCCTCGCATTTCTTCGCTGAGCGCCTTCTCCCCAAAAGCTGCTTCTAACTTATTTTCGCTACTCTGTACTGCATCCATTGAACGGCCCATTGTTTCGCTGGCTTCATCTAAACTCTCTGCTTTGTGTCCGCTTTCCGCTACACTCGCCAAGCTTTTTCCAGCATCCTCAGTACGATCTTCACTTGTGATCGGACGATCAGTTGTTGCTTTGCTAACCTTCACCGCTACATCTTCTACATCTTTTAAGATACCCTCGGTTGTTGCTGGCGGCTCATCTTTGACCTCCGTAAATTCATTCCTTTTTGTCTTTTCATTATTAAGTCGTAGCGCCAATTCATCCAAACCGTTGTTGACATGCGTTTTTAAGGTCTCGCGGGTCCGCGACTTTTCTGCCGTCTCATCCGCTTGACTAAAGACGCCACCTATATGCTTGTTGCTCACTATTTGCTGTTCTGCAACAGCATTGTTTGCGCCCAAATGCTTATTCGCCGCCTCCTCTGAATCGCGTTCATCCTGACTTTCCCTCTCCCTCTCCTCCTCCTCTTCCTCTCTTTTACCCTCAACCGTTTTGGCTTCTTCTTGCCCACTCGCACTGTCCGTCTCATGACTTTCCACCCGATTCAGTATTAACTTTTCGCTTGACTTGTGCTCACCTGCACTTGTGTGATTATTACCCAATGCAGGTAATAACTTTGTGCTTTTTTCCACTCGCTTGCTTTCACTTTCACCGCTCGCGTCAGCTGTGTTTGCATTGGCGGCGATAACTTCTACTGACTTTAGTTTCAATTTGATTTGATCGTCGCTATAGCTGGCGCCCCGATCGGTGGCTGTCGCTGCCACCACGGCGGCAATGTCACGGTCACTGGCGGTGACGGCCTTTGAATTCTCCACCGCGTCATCGAATGATGGCTGTGTTGGTTGCCGCAATATTTGTGCGGGTGACAAGACGCCTGCAAAAACTTGTGCAAACAATCCAAAAATGAGTAACTCAAATAGTGTGGTTGTAAATCGCTTTGGCATTTTGGCATTTAATTTTGGGGTGGAGAGAATTTGTGAACGTTTACGGCTCTTCTATATTCGGTTTCCAAAGGCTTAGTTGAACTTTTCCAAAATTTAATTTCGTTTCCCGTTTCTTTTCCCAGCCCAGTCGCCCGTTGTTGCTTTTGATACTCTCTACGCTGACTTGGTTTTTACCGCTTCTGTTGTAATTGCTTTTCAGTTTTTCGTAATTGTTTGCTGACATTCCATGTTTCCATTTTGGGCGCTCATAAGTTTCTACACAGCGCGGCGCTTGCGCAGTCGAGGCTTCTTTTATCGCTGTCTTCAAAGTTGTTTCAAATTGGCGCATTTAATGTATTCAAATCGTTTTGACCTTTATGGTAACTGCAAATAAAGAAAACCATTTGTTAATGTAATTTGTAGAAGTTTTGATTAGAAAAAAAAACCAGATATTAATTGCAGCTATTTATGAGTGTGGGGAGTTTCAAGCGATGTGTTATGTGCTTTGCTGCGGTATCAACTTAAAATCAAACACATTTTTCTTATCCAGAAGTAGTAATAAAACCTTAAGGTTTAAATAGAAACAAACGAATATTTAATAGGCTACCGTCGATGTTTTGAAAAAAAAGCGTCTAAGGTTCCATAGTTGGACAAATAAGTGATCAATAAAAGCTTATACAGCTTCGGTTTGTATTGAAGGTCATCTTTAGAATTACCAGGGTTTTCGCAAACCTCAAAAAGTTCTCGTTCATATGTTCAAGATGGCAAACAATTTTGATAGATTCCAAAGACTTTTCCAAGGTCAAACTTGTTAGAGGCGTAAAGCTTAAGGAGCGTCACATACCATCTCTTTGCGAGTTTACAATTCAGTATTCCCGCAAAATTTATATTGCGATGTAGTATGCCAGTGAACCAACACACAACAGCGGAAATAACCGCAAATGCGAGAGATAACAGACACCTGCATCTAAACGTCACAAAGCCACTTGGGTATCCCCTGATCAAAAAACAAAACTAATCACGTTGTGTTAGACGTATCGAGCGTTATGGACGTACGTTCCATCTAAGGGGTCAACATCGACTCGCATAACTACTTAGTCGCAGCTAAGGCCCGCATCTGCCTCAGTGAAGTAAAGAACGTGCGTCAGGCAAGGCGACTAGAGTACGAAGTCGAGAAGCTGCTGTCAAAACTAGGGATGTCGGAAAAACATCGATGCATCGAAAATTTTCAACTCGATGTATCGATGCATCGATGTTTTTTGAAAACTGACATCTCTGGTACGTTGAACCGTCATTCCAGTTTTTCAATTGTATAAAAAAGAGAAGTGACTTTGCCCAAAAAATTTAAATGCCTGCAAGAAGTTCCGTTAAAAACATAATTAGCTCAGTTGCAGTAATTTATTTAAAATGTTCTATCAAATCAAATAAAAACATCGATGTATTTTTGCCACTGACATCTCTAGTCAAAACAAACAACTAAGAAATTCGATTTCGTCACTTAACCCTACTTTAAGTAAGCAACTTCTCATCGGCCTTGTATGTATATCGTTAGTATAGTATGGAAAGGCCGTATCTCACATCGTCGCTGAATTGCAAAAAAAAAGCCACAACTAACTATTGCCTAAAGCGATGTGGGGGCTTATAATTCAATGAAATGATGCATCATATTTAATCCAAAAGTGAATTTTGGATATTTAGTTAGTTACGGCTTTACGTCCTTTCCAGGTGCAAATCAACACACACCATCTTTTTATCGATTTTAAAGCCGCTTTTGATACCACGAAGAGAAGCTGCCTGTACGATCCATTGGGAAGCACAATCTGAATCGCATTGGTACCATATGATATGGACAGCGGCGGCCTGAAACCCAGTGACGTTAACGCAGCATTTTTACCTCATAAAAAAGCTAAAAAGGTAAGAGGTTCGTCTAGCGGCGAACGGGGAAAAGACAAAGTACCTTCTGACAGCAAATAAAAAGTCTTCAGGTATTGCAGCACTTGTCACTTTTGGCTGTTATAACTTTGAAGTAGTGAAGAAGTTTTTCTGCCTAGGATTCAACATAAATAAAGAAGAATAATTTCGCCAACAGGAGCTACTTTAGCTCGGTAGGCAAAAAGCACGATTGGGGGCTTTCGCGTGGGTAAGGGACAACGAAAAGATGTAATAGAAAAATCTACGAGCTCTATGCAGATAAATGGTCACAGTGAAAACGCATACTTATACAACGATTGCGCTGGCTTGGATATGCCGACGAAAGGTTGTAATTCGTGTCTAATGGCAATGCTAGTGCACAAATAAGTACATATCTAAGGGTATACAAATATGAAAAATGTATTTAGGTGCATTATCTATTTATAGATATATAAGTACCTATTGTATGTATGTATGTGTGTATGTGTGTATGAAAATCGCAGGAGTTCATTAGCCGAAGTGTTTGTTTAGCTTTAGTGCTGCTTTTGTATGACAGAAGGCGAGAGCCCAAGTATGAGTATTATCTGCCTATCTTCATCAAACACATCAACTGTTTCGAACCCCACATACGATTTATGTATGAATATATAGGGTGGGCCAAATAAGACCTGGCAATGTTAAACAATAACTTTTTTTTATCTATACATGTACATGTGAAATTGTAAAAGCTCGATATCTGTACATAATGTACGTAATGTATTTTAAGGAAAACCAAATGGGGAGACTTTATTATAGCAACAGCAGCCAAATTCAGGAATTTTTTCCTGTTTTTCTCAATATCACACTTGTTTAACATTTTGTTGATTGACCATATTTTGTGTACGCTCATATACTTATATCTTATTGGAAAAGTGGACGTGTCATCTATTCCATCCATACATATTACTATTACTACTTAATATTATAAATCAGCGAGCAATTTGAACGGGAACAAAATGAGAACAAAAGGTTCGGGAATGTTTGTGTAAAACAAAAAGTGAAAACGAACCTTCGGGAACGTTTCCCATGGTAACAAAAGCATCGAGAACGTTTTCAGGGAGGGATTGAGAGGGGCGTCTGTGTATTGAGAGGAAAAATCGTTTCAATGAGAACCAATTTCCAACTTCCAGATCATTTATTATTGGGGTGAACTGTCCATTATGGAACAATTTTTATTTTTCTATGCAATTAAACGGCCGCTGTGGTGTAGTGGTAAGCAGTGCGCTGCACCTGGGTTCAAGCCCTGATCAAAGCAAAATGGAAAAAAATATAGAAAAAAAGGTTTTTTCTTAACAGCGGTCGTCAAACCTCCGAGTGTATTTCTGCTGTGAAAAACAGCTTCTCATAAAAATACAATCGCCGTTCGTAGTTGGCGTAAAACTGTAGGGCCCCCCGCTTTGTGTGACAACACACGCACACAATCGGAGGAGAAGCTCGGCCAAACACTAAGATATGTGTAAGCGCCAATATATTATTATTATTATTATTATGCAATTAAAGTTCGAGTCTTAAGTATTTCGTTGACTTAATTTGCAAAATTATCTTTCAGTTCTTTTATGATTAACTTTAATATTCAAACATTTCAAACCAATGGAAATGATTAAGACAAATTTCGTTCTCGCTTTCATTCTTCGCGAATAGTTCCCGTTTCGTTCTTTGTCGAAAAGTTTCTGAGAATTTAGTTCCCAAATTGTTCTTCGAGAGGAAGAGTTTTGTTCCCGTTTTGTTCTCTTAGAAATGTTTCACAGGGTTATAGTTCTTTAGTTCTTGTGAAAACGCTTCCGAAGGTTTTGTTCTCATTTCGGTTTGGGGTTTTAAGTGTTCTTGGTTGGGAACAAAGCTACGGGAACGACATTTGGTTTCGAGCATGGTCCGATAGGTGGTACCGAAGACAAGTTATTTCAAATTATACGGGCTTTAATATATATCTTTTTTTTTAGTTAGGAACCATTTTCTGCCGGGTTTCATAACCGAATTGATTGATTGTTTTGCCGCCCTAAAAGTGTTTTAAAGCGCCACAAAGAAAGCAGGCATTGGCTAGTTTTTTAATATAATTATATTTTTCTTTTTGCAGGTTGTAACTAAATTTTTGTAATTTCTTAGTGGACACTTACAGTATACAACAACGTATTAAAATTATCGATTTTGTCTATTCTTGTCAACGATCAATTATTATGACGTAGCGAAAATTATCGCTATTTCCGGATTTTGCCAGAAATAATTCTTCTGACTAAATCTGACTACTTCGGACTGATGAGAGTCACTCTCACTGAGTGTTGCTCTCACATTTTTGCTGTCATTTCCGAGTTAAGGAACGCTTTTTAGACTAAATCTGACTACTTCGGACTTTTTCTGACTATTTCTGGGAGATAAGGAACGCTTCTAATATATTCACACTTCTCTTGATGTCTACGTCACTGTCTCTGGCTTTTCGAAGACAGTTTATTTTCCGGATGCCTACTTTACTCAAACAATGTGTAAATTAATGCATATTCTCATTGGTCTTGTCTTGTGTAAACGCGGTGTTATACAACTGTCAGCAGTGACGGATTTACGTGCGTCAAAAGTTGAGTATTGGCCAACGTTCGTTGGGAATGGTCCGTCGACGCAAGGGTTGCCAATCTGACGCTCTCTATGCAAACACACACACAGTCTACTCAACTGTCAGTTTCATCCTTGAGCGTCACGTACACAAAGTACTCATTCTGACGGGGCCATTAGACATCTGAAGCAGAATATTCGAGACATTCCGTAGTGTAATGGAAAACGCGACATTTTTCATAGGTAAAACCTCTTAATTTCCCATAAAATGTATTCAATATATAACAAACATTATTTGGCCCACCCTGTATGAATGTACACGAGTGTACAAACTTTTATGCATATTTCTGCATTTGTAAACACGTGTGTGGCCAATTGAGTAGGCAGTTGATTTTCAGGAAGTACCTGTTGTGGGCTGGATTTTCCCTTAGGAAATTATCTTCGCCGAATGCAGCTGGCGCCAGCTAGTCTATGTATATATCGCCTGACAACCACTAGCGTTTAAATATACGACTAAAAGTACCTTCATACATACATATGTACATATGCATTGTGTTTACAAATAACTATCTACGGTCGGCATGCTATTGTTAATACTCGTAGTGTTGATGACGTGCGGCGGCGCTACGCTACCATGCCATAAGGTGGAAAAAATAACAAAATAACATAAAATTAGCTAATATTGACTTTTTGGTCGAGGAGGTGTTCGAGAATGAAATGGTAAGCAGTTTTTACCCTAAACATGGAACGTGCGAGCGTTTGTAATGCATTGACATTAGTGGCAGAACAATTTATTCATTTTACTGTTTGTTAAATTTTGTGCTGGTCGCATTGTGGCTGAAGATACTGACCAGTGATAATGATGAAACGGAAATATGTTTGCTACTGTACTTATGTGTCTAAATAGAAAAAAATGTAATTTGTTATTAAAAATGCATATATCTATGTATATATATGTATGCACATGCATTACAATAAAAATCGAAGTTGAATGAACCGCTGAATTGTTAGGTAAGTCATTCTGACTATAAAAGAACTTAACATCAATAACTATCAAATATTTATTACAAATAAATAGATTATATCAAAGTTAGTATAGGGAAACCAGTAATGCGCATACATTTATGTACCTACTTATAACTTAATTCAATCTCTGGAACGATATAAAATAAAGTACATACATACATACCTACATACGTATGTATAAAAAAAAAACAAGAAGCGTGAAAAGCCGAACATTTTAATGGAATTCGTTATAATAGGCGATATTTTATTTTCTGCAGATAAGCATAAATTATACTTGATAGTAAACACTTTCAGCTATTCGCCAATTCTTTTTAATTTACTTCACTTACCTACATATACAGACCTGTTCTGCATTTCTACTCGACTTGAAAAGTAAAACGACACACATTCCGACTAATTTTTGTGGTGGTGTTCTCAATTCCGATTGAGTTCGAATAAGTTCGAAATCGTTTTCGAATCGTTTTCATTTCGATTCGGTAATAAGTTGCAACAGCTGTTGTCAGTTATTT